CTCAACACTGCAGAGCAGTGGTTCCCAACCTCAACACCATAAAGTAGTGGTTCCCAACCTCAACACTGCAGAGCAGTGGTTCCCAACCTCAACACTGTAGAGCAGTGGTTCCCAACCTCAACACCATAAAGCAGTGGTTCCTAACCTCAACACTATAGAGCAGCATTTCTCAGCCTCAACACTGTAGAGCATTGGTTCCCAACCTCAACGCTGTAGAGAAGTAGTTCTCAACTTTCCTAATGTAGTAGCCCTTTAATACAATCCCTCATGCTGTGGTGACCCCAAACCATAAAATTATTTCATTGCTACTTTATAACTAACTTTGCTACTGTTATGAATCATAATGTAGATAACTGATATTCGGGGTACCTGGTAAGCGACCCCCAAAGGTTGAGAACTGCTGCCTTAAAACAACACAGATTTGAGCCAATAAAGTGGAAAGTAGCAGGGTGTAGGGGGCTTTAAATAATCAACTTAAGTCAAAACAAGGCAGATGAAGCTTTACTCTCTTACCCGGATCCAGGAGTTAAGTTCTGATTCTCCAGAGGTTCGTGGTTCTTTGTTCAGCAGACAACATAAGCACCATATTAGAATTTTTTGGCTTTCATCTGTAGAAAATAAAACTAAAATGAGTAGATTTTATCAAATAGGAAAAAACCTTAAGAACATGCTTAGGAAAACCTCAAAGCACCAAGCTCCGGCATTGGCTTTCTTCTTGTGGGTTCAGCTTACTGTCCAGCTCTTGTGTAGTCAACTTTCTGAAACAGCAGCAGTTTTTAAAGCCAAATAAGAATGATGGAAAGAGCTGAAAGTGCTGGGCTCTTCAAGATGTTTCTAATTTCACATTTCAAACATCAGTAATTTCAATCTTTTTAAAGCAAAATAACTACTATCTGTTTCTGTTTCTGTTTCGGATGGCCAAATCTGTTCCAGGTAGAGACTTACAGAACAACTAGCAAACAAAAATTAAAGCTGTAAATGGAAGCTGTTAGCATACAAGCTATACACAGCAATGCAGACCCTGTAAAGGAGAAGGGGGAGGTAGACATACTCAGCCCGTACAGCATTCTCAAAGACATACAGAGTTCACCTTTCAGTCTCCTGCAGCTAACAGTGCTTCCAACGGCTTTGCTATCAAAAGCACAAGGACAGAACAAACTACAGAAAATCTCCACTATATTCACTGAGAGCACCCATCCTTTCATAATTTTTAGGCCTATTTTTCCTCCAGTGACAATCATTAAACTTATGCTTTCTCAGTAACTAATAACTCTAAATAAACACACTAGGATCATTCTGAGAAACATTCATTTATCCCTAAAAACTTAAATAAAGCACCAGGAGGTATAGTCTTACCTGACACACATTAATTTCCAGACTCGTAACTTTCAAAGAATTCTTCAGGCTGAACTGATACCTCTGAGAGAAATGTGACTGTTGTACTTGACCTGGTGTACATACTAATTCACAAGTAACAGACTTTCCAATAATATGCTTTACTATGGAGTAAAGGAGGATGCAATTTCAAAAAGGGAGGGAGCTTAAACTCCAAAGAATGGAAAGCGGGGTGGCACCCCCACCCCCAGGTGTAGAGTAATTCTACACACTTGAGTTCTCTCATAAGTAAGAAAAAAAGATCTAGAGACATCTTCCCAATCTTTGCTCAGAAGTGATGCACTGAGATATACCACTGGCTAATGAGCACATAATTCACTTTACTTAGATGGTTCACAGACATAAATAAGCCACTGCTGGTTACATAAAGGCCACTAGTACTCCATACAGGGAATGGCATCCAGGAGCTTCCTCCCCAGAGGCCCCAATGATGGGACTGGGCATTCCATAGGAAACTGCCTAGGATCCATCAGGACTCACCAGCAGATCTTGGCACAAATTTGAATTCTAAAAATGAGTGAAAGGAAAATGAAATGTGCCAACATACATCTGCTGCCTAAGAGTTCACTTTCTGTATCTTGAATTGAAATTCCAAATGAAGGCTACACTCTGTGCCCTTTAATACTCAATTTAAAGGCACAAAGCAGCAATTTTCTGAGATGATAAAGATTATTTTAAGCTGCTAGGCTATGGTTATTGTTACAGGAACAGATGTTCACAGTGAGGATGGGAGGCTCTGATTCTTAGCCTGAATCTGCAGGCATTAAGAATGAAAGCCTCAGGCTACAGGAGAGGCAGTGTGTGCAGAGAGTAGTGTCACTGAGGAAGGGGCACTCGCCCTCCATCTCCAGGTCCTTCCTCTTCCTTCTCACCCTTGCTTCTCAACCTGACCAGATGACTCTTCCATCAAGCAGATATATACTTTGCCTACAGCTTTGGGTTCTGATTTTTGTTAGGTTGCTTGGTGTCTACTGTTCTTTGGTTATCCTGATGGTGGTGGTGTATGCAACAAGGTCTTACCATGTAGCCCAGGCTGCCTGCCTCAACCCCCAAGTATATTTTTACTGTTTTTCATAGGAAATTTTGATATTTTAAGACAGAAAACAACTCTCTCCAGAAAGTGTTCAACTAGTTGAACAACGGGAAGTGAAAACTGAGATCTTATGGGTAGTTCAAAAGGTAACACAGGTGTTGATACAGCAAGGACAGGGATGTGATGAGATGAGTGACTTTTAACTGCAATTCACTCAACAGTTTCTTCTCCTTTCTTTCTTGGACCCAGCACACCAGGAGCTAGGAAACTTGCGGTGATATTTTGTTGTGCTCTAATAAAATTTGCCTCAAGAGGGGGCTGGAGAGATGGCTCAGAGGTTAAGAGCACCGACTGCTCTTCCAGAGGTCCTGAGTTCAATTCCCAGCAGCCACATGGTGGCTCATAACCATCTATAATGAGACCTGGTGCCCTCTTCTGTATACATAATAAATAAATAAATCTTAAAAAAAAAAAAAAAAAAAAAAAAAAAAAAAAAAAATTTGCCTCAAGATCAGAGGACAGAGCCAGCCACTAGATTAAACATAGAGGCCAGGCAGTGGTGGCACACACCTTTAATCCTGGTACTCCAGGAGGCAGAGATCCACCTGGATCTCTGTGAGTTCAAAGCCACCCTGGACTACATGAGATTGACTCAGTCTAGGAGAGAAACAGAGCCAGGCAATGGTGGCACATACCTTTATTCCCAGTACTTGGGAATCACACACCTTTAATCCCAGTACTTGGGAGTCACACACATTTAATCCCAGTGCTTGAGATCTCATGCCTTTGCTTGGGAAGCACACATGCCTTTAATCCCAGCACTAAGAAGGTTGAGACAGGAAGTGATATGGCTGGGCAGAGAAAGAAATATTAAGGCAGGAGGAGACAGGAACTCAGTCGCCTTCTTCGCTGAGGACTCAGAGGCATTCAGTCTGAGGATTCACAGAAACAGGATCCTCTCTTTTCAACTGAGGAGTTGGCAAGGTGAGAAGTCCTCTAGCTTGTTTCTTCTGATCTTTCAGCATTTACCCCAATATCTGGCTCCAGGTTTTTAATTATAAGACCATTTAGAATTTGTACAACATCTGGTGCCCAATGTGGAGCATGAACTCACAATCCTGGGATTACCATTTAGGATTCATGCAACAAAACCAGTTTGAGCTGTAAATATATAAAATACCATGGTGACTCTGAACTGTATATACAAATAAAGCCTTTCATGGGATGTACTTAAGTGTGCACATGTGTACTTGTCTATGCAAATCTGTGCATATCTGTGCATTATACTTGAATAGACATACATATGCACACAAGTGTAGTTCTAGTCAAAGATATTCAGAAACTGGCCTGGACACAGTATATAAATTCAGAAGAGCACACGTGGCTTTGAAAGGTAAATATAGCACTGGCTCACTAGTTTTCCATTTTAAATCAACAACTTGACTGAGAGGAAAGAAGACAAATAAAAGTAAGGAGCCAGGACCCAAAGGTAGGGATGGAATTAGTAAGACTGAATGTGCACCTCATGCACAAGTGTGTGCTCAAAGACCCAATGAAGTGCTCCCCCTTTCCCACCTAGTTCACAGCTCTCACAATGACATATGATAGGTTAGGAGAGGAAAAATGTTCAATTCTTTCAAACATCAAAGGGAAATGGAATCTTTATTTTGGTTCTCATGTCATAATACTATGTAGTCTTTGACTTAAAAAAAAAGATGAAAAAAAAATACATCTGCTATTAATATAGTCAACTGAAGACCTTCAATGGGCTCCTCTTCAGGATCTTCAGCAGCTCTACCAGGCTTGAGAATGACAAAGAGAACTAACACTGCTCCTAGGCCTCAGACAGTGGAAGACTACTATAAAAAGGGAGATGCTGGAAGCCATGGGGATATGAAGAGAGACCCCAACCCAGCCTCAGAGCAAGGACATTTCCAGGAGGTCTAAGAGGCAAAGGGAATGGAATGCAGGGCACAAACCCACACTGGCATTCAGATAGCTGGCAACAGTACCACTGCAATGGCATGCTTTACTCGAAGAAGACGGACTGGAAAAAAGGTAGGATAGGCAGAAGTCAAGGAATACTATCCCTAAAGTACCCCAAATTCTCTCAACATTGGGTAAAACCACATCACTCTTAAATAATGGCAAAGCCATAGCAGGACTCTAACTCTGAACAATGTTCTCACAAAATGGGTAACAATACATGAGTTAAAAATGAATCTGTGAAACAATTAACTAGGTATCATTAGCATCAAGTTTAATTGTGGAGTATTTAAAATGAGGTGATGAAAGTGACTACAGACAAACACTAGTGCTTAAATCATAAAGTGTTTCCTCTCTCTACTGTAAGAATCCCTGTTTTCCTACAAGTCCACATACATGAGCTTGTATGCACATGCATGTTTGTTTGCCTGTAATGCCCAGAAGCACAGGAAGATGTATACACCTGGTGAACTGCCCCACAGAAACATGAAAAAGGTTACAATTTACATCCCTGTGCTTTGTTAGATGGACAGAGAGTAAAACTGTCATCAGGTATTTGTGTGTTGAGACTCTTACCATATGCTAAGATGAGAGGATTCCAACAAGTTTTTGCCAACAGTTGACCAATTGTGGGGAACCTTTCCAGAATTGCGTTAGAATCCTGTAAAAACAACAACCACATGTTTTGATAGTTAAAAAGTACTATGCAACTCAACTGAGCAACATAATCCTCAAGGGAGCCTGAGTACTACTGTACATCCTATTTTAGAAAGTATACAGGAAGAGATTAGGGAAAAGCTCTACATAAGAAAGTCAAAGTTTAACTTGTACTTCATCCTTAAAAATTCAATATGACACAATTAGGTCATTTCATTTTTTTCAGAAAATTTATTATATTTTACTCAAATTTAATAATCAGAAAAGACTATTTCTTTGTTGGTGGTGGTAGTGGAGACAGGGTCTCCTACAAAGCCCTGGCTGTCCTGGAACTCACATTTGGCCTCAAACTCTGCCTGCCTCTGCCTCCCAAGTGTTGGGATTGCCCAACATAGGAAAGACTATTTCATTTAAACACAATATACTGAAGAAGAGCAGCACTGGTGATTAATAACCATGTAATCCTACCTCTTCAACTATAAATTTTATTTAGTATAAAAAAGACCCCTCACCCAGCTTTTCAAAGGTTTAACAGATTATGTAACTTGTAAAGGAAGGAAAGCGGCTGAGGCACTAATGCTCACACGTCTTTGTGTGTTACAGCCATGACTGTACATGCTGAATGACATCATACTGCAACTGCAACAGACCAACCTCTGAGATGATAAAAACATCAACCAAACAGAAAACAGCTTAAAATAAAAGCACAATTTTGGTGCACAACCAGACCTTTCCCCACTTTTCTACGTTCCATAATGTTCAAAAGCAAGACCATGCAAGCTCATGTGCAGGGAGGCCAAAACACCCCAATGAAGGGGACTCCGCAGGTATCTAGGCAGGGAAGAGAACCTCAAAGAAATGAGAATGAAAACTCACTTCAGATGAATTTCATCAACCTGGATCAGATTTGGGGAGTCTGATACCAGGCCGTTCATGTCAGCATGTTTAAAACAGTACAATTTGGGGAAAAGTTTCCAGGAAATAATCATTCCTATTCCAGGTGCACAATAAAGCTTAAGGTGTGACTACTTAGAAACTCCTTTACAAAGTACATGTGACCACAAGGGTGGGTTCTATAGCTATGGGTCTAGAATCTAGTGGTCTATGCTATGTGATAGCATAGAGGTCAGCAGGCCATAAAGTACATGTGACATCACCCCTAAGGATGGGCTCTGTTAACTGAGAGCTAAGGAGGGAGAGTCTAGAAAAAACATTCTGGGGGATTTGGGTGAGCTCTGCCTCCATAGTAAAAGGTGGGTGAGGTCTGCTGCCACAGATAGCAAAAGGGTCAACAGATCATTTAATATTATCCACTTCTAGATCTCTAGGCAGGAAAATAGGTGTTTTATCTCCTCCACTGAGGAAAGGCTCCTGCATGTTTAACCTTCCTAGTTTCTCTAGTGATCTGTGGGCACAAGGACCTTTGCATCCCTAAGAGCCCTGTGATGCAGCAGGAAGTCCCTCAACATGGTCTTTCTGAGTCCATGTCAAGATGAAATTACATAAATCTTACTAAAGAAAAAAAAAACAGCTTTAAAATTAGTACCACTTGTTCAACATAGCTAATCCTTCTAATTTCTAAGGACATATGAACTCATTATCTATAGAATAACCCATAGAAATTTGTTATTGAAATTTCTCATTTGCTTCTTTGATGAACAGAAAGTACTACATGAAAGTATAAGTGTTAAATAACAATTTACTTTCATTTTCAAATTTAAAAATAAAATATGAAAAAATTTATGAAACATAATATGTTTATAACATGAAAACATGGCTCTCAGTTGGGAGGTGGTGGTGCATGCCTTTAAACCCAGCACTCAGGAGGCAGAGGCAAGTGGGTCTCTGTGAATTCAAGGCCAGCCTGGTCTACACAGGAAGTACAAGGACAGCCAAGGCTACATAGAGAAACCCTGTCTCAAAAAGCAAGCAAACAAACAAAAATATCTAATACAGTAAACATAAGTAATTTATGTCAATAGGAAGATAAATGGAAATATAAACCAAAAATTATATAATATACTCAAAAATTTATTTGAAAGGATCCCTTAAAAATATTTATTAAAAGAGATCTTAATAGTAAGATATCAATACTCCGGACAGGATCTTACTATCTCTTTTGAGGACCTACTTGAAAGCAGACCTGAGGGAGAGCAAACAGCCTAATAACCCCTAGAAAGTTTGAAGAGCACAAGGACAAACATTTACTACCTACAGGAAGAATCCAAGCCCTGTAATCAAAAAACAAATTGTTTGATTTTAGGATACAGTTTAATGATAGAAGGCTTGCCTAACATGTGGAAGGCCCTAGGCTCAATCCCAGACACTGCAAGAATGAATAGATTATTAGTTAGTATAAATAACTTTCTTGGCCAGGCAGTCTCAAACAGCTAAGAAGAAAGATAACGCCATTTTACACCAGAAGCTATGAAAACAGCTCTTGTCTGCAGCACCTGTCAATAATTTGTCTAATTTCAGTTAAGTCAATCACACAAGTCCCTAACTCTAAGTACCATTCTTGCTTAGGGAGTCCCTAATGTCACAGGATACTTACCATCTCTTTCAAGATTTCATATATCTGCTTCAGGAACTCCTGGAACCGGGACAGATGAAGACAGGTGTCCTGTTGTGTTTCCTTAGAGGAGGCCTGTTCCCAAGCAGAAAGTTTCTGCAGCCAAAACTGATAGTCCGCAGCAAGGTCTGCAGAATCCTGAGCCATCTCTAGGCAGATAACAGTGACATCCTTTCACAGCAGCCTGCCAAGCAGCACAGGAAATGGTAAGCATGCTTCAGGTCTTCAGGGAGGGAACAGATGGAACATTTAGGACAGGCTCTTCTATCAGCACATTCACAACCCACTGAGGGTGAAGGCAGATTATGAGAGATTAAACAGCCTGCTCAGGATGCTAGAGTCCTCTCTGAGTCATTTAAATGTGTCATGCAGCTGTAGCTCAGATTTTAACATCCGAACTTTTACCATGAGTGATGTCATTACTAAAACTCATTATACTTTCACAGTAACATACTAATTGTAGACAAAAAGCACAGCTGATAATAGTTTACATTTCCTTAAGATTGAGCTATTTTTAAATGTCTTAAGTGTGAAGTTCCTTTGTGCATTCTAGGGATGAGAAATCAGAAACATTCATGAGTGTTAACCAATAGTCTGTGCCTGAAAAATGCTTCTGATATCGTGATGCTTTACATGCATGTCTGGCTTCTCATTTAGGTATAAATAAATTTGATGCATTACTAGCTAATAAATTTTCTTCCCAGTTCCTCTTCATCTCACAGGAAAAAAAAAAAGGTAAAGTACTGTATTCTTCATGCATCACTTTAAGCAACCTGCTTAATTAAACACTGCTCTAGGGAGCCTGGAGCTGCTCAGTTGGTGGTGTGAGCTGTGCAGCCTGAGGACAAAGCTCCTGGTACATGTCTATATCTCCAGACAGATCCTCAGAGCTCACTGGCCAACTAACCTACCCAGTGGGTGGGCAGAGGTTCAGTGAAAGACCTTGTCTCAAAAAGTTAATGTTCATGTGTGCATGACCACTCCCACTCTCCACATGCACACAAAGGGGTGTGTGCACCCACACATATGTGCACATCCCCGCACATACACCACATGCACACAAATAAGTTAATAAAAGGTAAAAATAAAATTTTAAAAGCACTGCTTTACATGTAAAATTCATCCACAAGAAGTCATATTTTCATAAAACATAACACATATTTACTAGGTGTTGGACTCATTAAAGGACTCATTATCTCCTAAGCCTGAATTCCTGCCCCTGAAATAAATGTAAGAAAACACAATAGGAGTCTACAGGTATCCTGTGCCTCCCCAAGGGAGAAGCTAGGCCAGTGGACAGCAGGGGCCCCTCCAATGCAGTGCCGAATGCCCCTGTGGAGAAGGGCAGCTCCTCTCACACCCCTGTGCTTCGCTGGGACAGGATAGCATGCAGAGGTCTCACCTCAAGGAACTGCGCACAATAGTAAAGGCTGAGTTCAAATTCAGCATCAATGAGTAATATAAAACGCTTCTACTAGGTGCCAACCCTCAAAGAAAGACAGCCCTCCTCCTAAGCAGAACAGCAAAGAAACTGAAGGTGTCAGCTGCATCACAGAGACGTGGATGGAGAGATGGCAGTTTCCAAGTGGCATTTACAGTTTTGAGGAATCGACCAAAGTAGAAACCAACAAAAAGCTTACTAACTACACAGGAGACACACGCACACTAGCCAAATGATACCTAGAAGCCAAAGGCCTGCATTATGGACCTGGTGTAAGCCCCTCAAGGTAGGAGTGGCCATGGCCAGCTGCCAGACTACTCTAATGGCTGTTTCCAACCCCTCAAGATACAGGTGGCCAAGCTCTGCCCTACAGAGGAAGAAAAAAAAGCTCAAGATCAGGCCACACAATCCCACCAATACTTGAGCTTGCCAATCCCACCAATACTTGAGCTTGCCTCAAGATCAGGCCACACAATCCCACCAATACTTGCACTTGCCTCAAGATCAGGCCACACAATCCCACCGATCCCAGGCCATCCTGGAAGGCTCCCCAAGAAATCATATATAAAGCCTTCCTCCTGCTCAGTTCTCTGCTGCTTCTCAACCAAGCAGATGCAGCTGCCCTCTGTGTCTTTCCCAAAAAAATTCTTATGAGGTTTGTTGTGCAGTGTGACTTTGTGGTATTTTTTGGTTCTCACTGTCCTCATCAAAACCATCTACAAAACTCTATCTACAAAATAATGTGGAACTTCATGACTTCCTTCCATCTCCCTCATGGACTTCAGGTTTCATCCACTCTACAATTCATTCTCTATAAATAAATTTTTTAAAAAAAGACAACTTTTGTATGTATAAATCCCACACGAGACACACTCACTTAACACTCCTTTTTCAGAGCTTCTTTCAAGTGCAGCTGAGGGGAAAAAAGAAAAGAAAAGAAACTCATCAACCCTCCAGGCACTGCACTCTCAGGCCCCCCTTTCTGTCTGCTCCCCTGCACAGCCACACATGCTCTGGAATGAAACTAAAGCCTCCATGCTTCCTGATGGCTTGATAGTGTTAGGTGCTCTTGAGCATTCATTCCTTCACTCAATTACAGATTTCATCCATTCATTCATTCATTCACTGAGTTACAGATTCCTTTACTGGTATACCCATTCTCTGCCTTCCCAGAACCTAACATGGCTGACAAACACTCAACACATAGCAAATCAACAAACAATAATTCTCTGGTAGTTTTCAAAGTACAGTTCTAAGCTCCATGTCATAGCAAAAGTGCTTCTCCAAATAATTTAGTTTTTAAAATATAAGATAAGAACTCAAAAAATGAAAATATTAAAGAATTTTTAGTTACCTGGGTGAAGTGAACATACACACACATACTCCATGCTCTGGGCCATGTATGAACTGCTTCATGCATGTGAACTGAGTCCTCAAAGTGACTCTTTGAAGATAAGTATTAACAGGGGCACAAAGAGATTACATCATTACCCAAAGTTAAATCATGTAAAACCCCAGAGGAAGAGATTGCTAGGAAAGGGTAGAGCCAAAACAATGAGATCTCAATCCAGAATCAGCTCTAACGTCTGCATGTATGTATCAGGGTTCTCTAGAGGGACAGAACTTATAGAATGTGTGTGTAGTGTGTGTGCGCGTGTGGTGTGTGTGTGTGTGTGTGTGTGTGTGTGTGTGTGTGTGTGTGTGAAGGAGATTTAGTACAGTGGCTTACAGACTGTGGTCCAACTATTCCAACAATGGTTGTCTACCGATGGAAAATCCAAGAATCCAGTAGTTGTTCAGCCCAAGAGGCTAGATGTCTCAGATGATCTTCAGTATACACCAGAATCCCAAAACAGTGGGCTCTAATGCCAATGAAGGAATGAACTTGCCAGGGAGAGTGAAAGCAAGCAGGCAGAGAGAGCAAGCTTTCTTCTTCCACGTCATTTACATAGGCTGCCAGCAGAAGGTATGGTTCAGGTTAAAGATGGCTCTTAACACCTCAAAAAAATATAGATCAAAAGTTGGTCTTTCCATTTCAAATGATTTAATTAAGAAAAATCCCTCACAGGTAAATCCAGCAACCTGGGTTCTAGTTAATTCGAAATGTAGTCAAATTAACAACCAAGAATAGCCATCACACCTTAGATAAGACAGGAGAAGACAAAATAATCATTTTTATGTATATTTCATATGGCACTGGGAGTAGATCAGTTTAAATACTTGAAAAGATAAATCAAATTTTTACAGAAACAAGAAGCAAAAACACTTTTATTTTCAAAAAAATTAAAATGAACTTTTCTTTCAACATGGAAAGTTGCACAGGTTAGAGATGCCCCTCTAGAGAAACAACAACCTCACAGTATACAGAACACCGCACAGTCGTCAGCAGTACTGTCCACTTAGCAAACCCCCCCCCTTCTCCATCCTATGATGTCTTAGGGCTGCCCTCAGTCAAGGGTGGGACTATGACTCATGCTAGGCATTTCAGACTCTGTTGGGACCCTCACCTAAGTTAGGTGAATATAAATGCAGAAAAAATCTGAAAGCTTTTTTTCTCTTCTCTTTTCCTCTCTTTTTTTTTCTTTTCTGTTCTCTTTTCTTCAATCTTTTCTTTTCGGGATAGAATCTCACTCTGCAGCCCACACAGGCCTCAGACTCAGGACAACATCCTGCCTCAACCTTTTAAGTCCTGAGATTACAGGTGCAGGCCACCATGGCCAGTCAAGGCTCTTCTTGGAGCCATCCTACTTCACGACCCAAATGAGACGGAATCTTCTCTTTCACACCTAACATTTTAATATACTCTCTTCATGCTTGCATGGTTTTGAGGAGAATTCTTACATAACTGCCTTCTTCTTTCAGAAGTCTCTAATTGTGATTTTTTTCTTCTTTGTAGTTTGAAAATACAGTTAGATATAGTTAGGTATTTATCCTGCCAACTGTTCTCTAGGTCTCTGAGACATGACATTAATTTGAGAAATTCTGTCATCACTGTGCATTTCTTCTTTCTTCTTGCATCCCAAGCATGCAGCTCTTAGGTCTGCCAGTCTGCTGTTCACTGTGCTGGTTCCCAGCCTTGCTCTCTTTACTTTGCAGTTCAGGAGGTTCATGCTGAGAACCTCAAGGTCAATCCTAAGCTGCTTCTGCATAAAGCTGTGAGATGTTCTTTTGAGGGGCCTCGTGTCCTTTGTTCAGCTGTGCTTTATCTACAGGTGAGACCACGGGGGCACCAGTCAAAGGTATCAATGGAAACAGTGCTTTTGAATAAGGTGGTAGCAAGATTTAAAAAAATAAAATAAAAGATAAAAGATTTTTCAGAAAGGCAAGGTTAAAAAAATACCTGATAGAAAGAAATTAAAGAAAGAATTTATTTGGTTATGATTCAGAGGGATAATGCCCCTCATGAAGAGGAAGACATGGCAGCTAGGGTGGCTACAGTGGCAGGGTCCCTGCAGCAAAGATTGCCGGCATGGCTGTTCTCTCTCCTCGGATCAGGAAATAGCATTTAGGCTGAAAGCAGAGTGATCAATAACCAAGTCCCACTCCCACAGCCCTTTATCCACATTCCAGGCTCAGCATACAAAAGGTTCTACAACCTACCAATGCAGTGACACCAAACGGCAAGTGTTCAAAACACTGTCGAGCTGTGAGGGACATTTCAACATTCAAACAAGTATTCTGCCCCTGCTCTCATAATGCAAAGTATGTTTAGTCCATTTCAAACATCCACATCTTACAGTTCC